GACGGTTAGAGGCGGCGGGAACTCACGACCGGCAGCTCTCGTCGACCTCCACGACGGGCAGCTCTCGACAACGGCTACGGGCGGCGGGAAGTGACGACGGGCAGCGACGGGAACCTCCACGGCGGGCAGCGACAGCAGACACTGGCGGACCTTCGACGAACTCGGTGTTCGAATTCGAAGGCCGCCCCTGCGGCCATGCGACGACGAAATCTTTCGCGCGGGGGGGCGGGAAGGCTCTCGAGACCGCCAACAAATCGTAACAGGCCAACCCCCCCCCCTGCGCAAAAATGCGCTGGGCCCGCCCGGCTTCCAACCGGGGGACCCAACCGGCCGGGCCGCCCGGGACCCCTGCCGGGCGGAGGCTGGGCCGCCGGGCGGCCCGGAGTTTAGCACAGGTTTTTTTTTTTTTTGTGTGTGTGTGTGTCCCCAAAACCCAAGCCGCTTCTATTCTGGGGGGCGACAGTCCGGTTGCTGATCACCGGCAAGCATGAGAGTACAACCGAGAAGAAGTAAGAAGAGGATGCCCTTGCAGCACTAGACGCCTGCACAAGGTAGGGGCTGTCACAAATCGTCCCTCCCCCACACCATAGCCTTCCTGGTGTGCTTCTGCTTGCCGGGAAGCTTACCGGCAGCACCCAGTCACACAGCAGTCAGATCCCAGGGGGGTCAGGTGCCGGTGGGGGCGTTCATAGCAGTCTCTCTGGCTGCACGGTTTATGCCCTCACCCTCTTGTGCCCATATCACGGTATCATTGACGCTTTCAAATCCCTCTACTGTCTCTAATTTGACCTTACCTTCCTTCACTGTCCCTTGGTGATCCCTTCCTCATACTATCCTTGTACTAACTTCATTCTACCCTTCAACAATCTTGTTACTTTGCCCTTCTTCACCTGCTCCCTGACATGTCACAGTCTCCTATGTCACTGTATCCTACTATATCCCACTGTATCTTACTGTATCCAACTGTATCCTACTGTATCCTTTGCTGTCACTGTATCCTGCTTAGTCCTTCTTGGTCCCCTTCCATTCGTCCATTCTTCCCAGCTTTCTCTAATTTTATCCTTTTTTTGGTCTTTAGCAGTGTTGGTCCCCTCCCCTTCCTTCCCCTCCCTTCAGTTGCCAATAGGATGGTGATCATCATCATGCGCAATCGGCGTAGCTCAGTTGGTTGAGCACGTAAGTGGCACGGAGGAGGTCCTGGGTTCGATACCCAACGTCGTCCTTTCGATCCCGGCGACCTCGTGGGGGTATGCTTCGGGTTCACCACCAGAGATTGTTGTTGGCTTGGGCCTCCTGGCTGGTTGTGGAAGTAATTGGTTCTTTCCAGCCGGCGCCATGTGTTAGGAGATTGGGTACTGCTCCCCACACAGAGCAGAGATAGGTAGGCGTAGACCCATAACCATAGGATAGCTTAGCTCTGGCTAGTGAATTTAAGCTTCGATGATTCGACTCTGCTTCTGTAGATGGGTGGAGTGTAGTCTACGACCGTAAACCCTGTTGTTGGCCCTCGAACGTCAAGCTGGGTTCCTTGCTGGTTGGGTTGCTGTGCCCCTTGCAGGTCCGGAAGGTGGGTAGACCAGTTCAAGTACGCAGCCTGAGGCAGGTAGTGTGAGATGGAAAAATATTGATAGAAGAAAATCGCATAGTAAATGCAGCTGTCCCCCCATATGGGGAGAAGGCAGCCTGCATTTAAAATAAAATAAAATAAAGAACTTAAAAAAAGGATGGTGATCATCATATGCATGATTTCATCACATGTCGACCTCATGGTCTGTGTACCCTTCAGCGACATGCCAGTGAGGGGTTTCAAAACTTCCTCCAAGTCATGTTGTATTGCTGCTTCAGTTCTAAGTGCTTCCCAGTGCATGAGGGACAAAGCAGGGACAGGGGAAGTAAGTGTGTGTGTGTGTGTGTGTGTGTGGGGTGTGTGTGGTGTGTGTGTGTGTGCGTGTGTGTGTGTGTGTGTGTGTGTGTGTTCCAGTGACCCATAGCATATCATGCTAAGTGCCTTTACAGTTACCTGTGATACAATCGTCCTAGTTCCGAATCTCGCCCACATCAGGTCTTACATTGTCCTCAATCGTAGGGAGGCGCCTGGGTTTGTTTTTCATGAGTCGCTGTGGGTCTATTTTACCTCTGACACAACCGTCATCAGACATTGCGAACCCCGTCTCACCCAAAGGTAGCGAGGGGGAGGGGGTGTAGGAAATGGAGGGAGAGAATAGGAGATTGGACGTCGAGCAGCAGCAAGGCACACAAGCCCGAGAACACGGAGGAGGCGGTAGGGCAGACAGCACACAACGACACAGGGAAAAGACCAACAGGATGGAGAAGACAGTAAACAGCAAACAAGAAACAACCAGGCAAAGCAGCAAGGCAAACGCATCGATGCAACACATAAGCTGGAGGCCACGGGGAGGAGGGAGGTCAGACAGCACGCAAGCAACGAAGGCAACGAAATAAAAGGCAGACAAAAGACAGCAAGAGAAAGGGCATGAGACAATAAAGGCATAAGTCGCCAGGCAGCAGTACAGGACGAACGCTGGAGGCGGGTGGGCACACAAACAGCATGACGCAGTGAACAAAAAGAAAGGAAACAACACAAGGTAACGAAGGGAAAGGCATGAGGCGCGAACCAAAAGCAAGGAACAAAAGGCAACGAAGGGAAAGGCATGAGGCGGCGAACCAAAAGAAAGGAACAACACAAGGCAACTAAGGGAAAGGCATGAGGCAACAAGGCATAGGACAGCAGGCAGCAGCGAAGGACGAAGGCTGGAGGGCACGGGGGAGGCGCGAGGGCAAACTACACAAGCACACAAAGCAGGAAAACCAGAAAAACGATAAGTCCAACAAAATGCAAAGACCCAAAAAAATAAAAACTGACCGGCTCTTCAGGAGGCTGAACCATCTGCGGAATCCCCATATTGATGGTCTGGGTCGTTTAACCCTTTGACCCTTGTTGGCGGCAGACTATCCCCAAGTGGAAGGCAACAACTCAGTGAAGCACCCGGCGACGCTGCCGGAGCAACCCAACTGCACAACGCAAAAAACAACTCCGTGGATGGCAGGGCAACCGGACACACAGCACGGCAACATCGCAGTGAAGCACAAGGCAACACCAACAAGGCGGCCAGACTACACGGCACACAACCAAAGGACGCGGAAGGCAATGCATGCGGATGGGTGGCAAGGCAGCAGAGCAGTGTAGCACACAGCAACACCAATAACACATCCACACCACATCGTGACCACACAGCTGCAAAGAATGACATGTGAAGCAAGACGGGCAGGAAGGCAGCAGCGGAGCTCAAATGAGGCAGTCTACACATCTAACCTGGAGCAAAGCGGTACATCACCTACTCACATCACGGGTGAACCCCACAGCCTGTTGGTTCCAACCACCTGCTGAGCCAGAAAGCCGCTCTGACGGACGTCTATCATTACCCATAGAGCATATGCACCGCAGACATCACAGACAGAGCGGCTGCCCTGAGAATCCTGCGGGCACTCCAAACCACCAACGCCGACTGTTTAGCACTTCTTAAAGGTGCTCACCCAGACACAAAAATCAAGAAAGAGAAAATGTATACATACATACATACATAAGAATGATTGTGTGTGTGTGTGTGTGTGTGTGTGTGTGTGTGTGTGTGTGTGAGAGAGAGAGAGAGAGAGAGAGAGAGAGAGAGAGAGA